GCTCAAGTGTGCAGTTGCTGTATATAGTTCATGTGCGTCTACACAGGCAGCACCCATGTGGCACCGGTAGGGATAAGATCTAGTTGCACAACACAGACAGCTATCGCAAAAAACACTTCGAAGGACTTCTAAAGGAAATGAATGAAAAGGCCTTGGACGTTTGCGTTTGTATTCTAGAAAGCCTTTTTTAAATAAAACTGGATAAAACATGAGTGTTTTATTGGTCTGACTTGTGTCCAGAAGGTCTGTATTCCTCATGTCATGCAGGTGTGCTGCAACTGCTCTGTGTTAACCATTTTGGACATGTGGAATTCTTGGCACAACCTTCCTCCCCTCCTTCCAGGACTGCTCTCAACTCCACAAAGACAGATGAAAGCTGGATGGACACAGCAGTGTTCTGGCTGCAGCAGGATTTGATTAAAAGGTTTCGATTCCTCAGAACTGCTGGGCATAGCTACCTGGTATTCCCATACCCACACTCACATTAAAGCTAACTAGGCTTTAAAGAGCCACTTGTACAAACAGGTTAGAGGAGTAGATAGTTGTGGCACCTGTGAGAGCACAGAGAGCCAGAAGGGGGCTGCTGATCTAACGTTCATAGCAATAGTAGCGTATGGGCAGGTTGAATTCAGTCTGCTTCACTTCAAATGAGAGCTGTTATTGATGAGGTGTGTATGCCACTTTTTACACAGCTATTAGGTGATCGGGTTTCAGCAGCAGCAAACATTGAATCTGAAGAGGCGTATGTAGAACAACATTGTGCTTGTGCACTCCAACACTTTGAATTCAACCAGTACTTTGCACAGAAAACAAAGCAGTGCTCAGGCCATGTGGTGAGCTACCCTTATCTTCACCGTGGTGCTGTTCTGCACAACACCTCAGAATTGACCAGCAACAGGAGGCTTCATCCAGGTCTCTCTTGAGCTTCCCTGTTGTCCCAGGGGTGAGCCTCTCTGAGAGCTGTTCCTGACCTCAGAGCCTACCATCCAGTTCTGAAACGGGCAGCATCTTCCCAGTCTGTGCTTGAGGAACAGGCCTACAGAGTATGTGTTAGCACATGGAACAAGTTACTGAAATCACCATTCTGCAGTTGCCTCTATGGAAAGGCAATTTTAATTGAGCCAATGTTGGCATTCACTCAGAGATTTGCCTACCCTTTCAGCAGCATGCACCCACTGCTCCCGGTCCTGCAACACAGCGCTGGTCCCAACGCATAGTTGGCACTAGGGAATCTTCCCTCCAAAAGCTCTGGCATGAGCCTGCCCCACCTACCGGTATGTTCAGTAAGTACTACCTACCATTATCAGGCATGTGTAGAGCAGCAAGATTGATTGATTTACCCTGTCCCAATGAGTAAAATTTCATTAACCTGTCCTTCGTTTGGGAGAGGCAATTCCAACTTTTCCACGGGACAGGCACTTGGCCTTCCCGCTCCTCCAGTCCCAACTATTTAGAAATTACAAACAGGAAGAATCCAAAGAAATTGTTCCCATGGGAGCCGGCTACAAGTCCTCAGGTGGCTGTTTCTAAGGGCTCCCCTCTTGTGTGACAGGGAAGGCGCAGAAGCACCTTCAAGCAAAGTTACTCCTAGGGAAAGAATTCTACAGGAGAAGGAAATCCTGCAGCCAGAGCTGGGAGAAGTCACAGGCTAATCCTCTTCAAGACAGCTCAAGTGCTGCATAAATAACCAGGTTCCAAGAGAGTGTTTCCTAATTGTTCTTTTTAATGTATCACTACTTATCTATTCCTGCATGCAAAGGACACTCAAACCAATTCAAATTTACAGATTTAACAGAAGCACATCGCTGCACTAGCTTTAGATCCATAGATCATCTTAAACAAGGAGTTAAACTAGAACAGAAACCTCAAAATCAAGAACTGTCATAGTTAGGGTATTACAGACCTTAGTTACCTTTTTTCACAAGTCTTCCTTAAGACCAAAGGTTAAATCCATGTACAGCACCACATCTTTAACATGTCTTTACATTACACATGGGGAATACAGACCTAAAAAAGGCAAAGCAACAGGTACAAGAGATTGTTCCAGATGTGATGCTGCACAGCTGTGACACCAGTGCTGACATGGACAGAGTGAACAGAGTAATCAACATCTCAACTGCTTCAGCTCTATCAAACCAGACATTTACACAAAAGTCTGATTAAGAGCTGCTCCCACATCCCCCATTAATTACTCTTAAGTCATACATCAACAAGCCCGACTTGAGCTAAGACCCATACAACACCCACTTCTCCTAGGGTGCATCCTTCCACTGCTGTACCATCGTATTCAATGATTTTTATACACACCTTCCAAGTAGTGCAGCAAATACGGCGAGGAACTCTTCAAATATGTAGTCAGAGACTGAAGGCGAGAAGCCAAAGGGAGAAAAGTTTTAATTACAGACAATTATGTCCATGAAAATTAACTTAGGCCTAGAGCACTTTGACAGACGAGTAAGGGTCTTTATTTTCTGGAAGTGGGCAGTCAACAACCAAACACCATTTCTCTGCTGTACATAAGACATGACCCTTGTCCCTTCAGGGCACAGAAAGACACCTTGTTCTTTAACAGTTGGCAGAATACACACAGGTCATCTTACTTTGTGGAAGAGGTACTAGTAATTCTTCACCTCTGTGTTCCTATTACCATGGCAAAGCTCACACACTTTAGGCCTGAGCGCAGCCTTGCTGTGTACAAACTGTGTTTTGTTCCTATACCAGACAAGGCTCTGCTCAGGGGGTGTAATACAAAGAAACCTCAAAAAGACTTTTCTGACATAAGCACCTGAGCTGCAGAAGTCCATAAATCCTGGCAACCTGATCATAACTCAGACAAATCCAGCCAGAGGTGTGCAGTGCCCTTTCCAATCCAGAGTGATCACAGCTCAAGTACTAACACTTCTTAAATTAAAAGGGGAAAAAAGAAATGGGGGTGGCGGAAGAAGCGTAAAAGAAGCAAAAGCTTTGTACATCCTCTCCCTTGTCAAACTGCCCAAACTCTGGATCAGGCTCTCTCCTTGAGGGCAGAATACCATTACAGAAGTTGGAAGCCCAGGGAATTAATTTGGTAATACTCCATCCAAAGCAACCAGAAGTGACCCTGCAGCCTTAACAGTTATCGATGATCCTCAGCATACTCTTACACTGCGCCCTTCTTCCACAAGTCAACTTGGCAGACACTTGAATTACTGCTTACTGACCAGTGATTAAGATTATGAACTTGTGCTGCTTTTATTGACCAAGTTGGGTACAACAATTTAAGCATCGTTCTATCCCTTCCCTCCCCCCCAAATCCAGTTGTAGATTTGTTAAGAGTTTAAAATTCACATTAACCACAAAATCATACAATCAACATCAGGCAGTGTGTTAATTTGTTTGGAACAGACAACTCCATCATCTCCCTTCTTAGAACATGCAGGGAGAGTCACCTTCACATCGCGAGTCTCACGGGAACCACTGCTGGACTTCCTGCTGTCCCTTCGAGTGCATGTCTTCTGCCTAAATCACGTACATCCTGGAGCATGGGCTGGGGGGCCAGCTGCAGTGCGCCACCAAGTCCAACCATGGACTGAACACAGACAGCAGCCGCAGTGCTAACACTGTACAACAGGGCTACCACCACATGCTTTCTCGCGGGGCCATGGTGCTGCCTGGTACCCCTCGAGCAACACACACCAGCCTCGACCAGCCATGGGCGAGCACGTGACCTTCACCAGCTGCTGGCAAAGTGCACGGGTAGCTTTACCGAGACCAGGGAAAACTGCAGCATCGTACAAAACAGTATGAAAGTGTTAACATTCCGTATTGAAGAGGAATCGCATGAGCTTTAAAACAAGGGTTCCAATTACTGATGCCTCCAGAGTCTGTCGTCTGATTTAGTCATTTAAGAAATAATTACATCACTAATGTAAACAATATAAACATACCAAAAACTAAGTATGATTTAAATACATTTTGATGGTACAAAAGAAAAACCTGAAGGTGTCTGTACAGTTTTTACAACGTGGGAATTGCCAATGTATTTACAACATGAAAGGGCAAATACCATTTTTGTGCAGAGTAGAATTATCTGAAATAATGTCAATATAAAAAACAATATCTAGCGGTGTGAGGCACTCCTAAACATGGTGGTATTAACCATGCTTTCCTTTGGTACAAGTCCCATCGCTTGGAGAGCCGCAGTTGCTGCTGTGGCTTTAGCATGCTTCTTGTTAAGGCTGGCAAAAGTAGGCCTGTATTCATTTCCATTGACTCTCACCTGTTTATGGGAAAAGAAAGCATTACAAAGTGCCTCTTAACCACCGCTCTGAGGCAGCGCTTCGCAGCTCCTCCTTTAAGCACCTTCCCTACACAATCCCTCTTCGGGTAGTCAAAATCCACCCCTGGTCTGTAAGCATCATCATTTCTGGACATCTAGTGCTAATACAGGGTATGATGTGAAAAAGAACGCTCATGTTGTAAGATAACTGAAGGACAAACCAATCTTGCTCGCTGCCTTTGCAACAGAAAGGTTCAACACCATGCCTGCAAGCAAACAGCAAGAATATGGTACCACATGAGTCAGTAATTTTACTAGGCAGTGGAACAGTGTGTTTCTTGATGGATTTACAGACTAATGAACTTCAGAGGTCTGATCTGGCCATTACAGAAACACGACTTAGGAATTTTAGCAAAGACACTGCTCAGCAGTCCTCAACCACCCATAAGATGGCTTATATGTTTATATGCAAATAAAACCATGAATTTACATCACCTTTAACACAAAGACCAACAGCAAACAAAGAAACTCACACGCACCTTAAAGATAAAATGTTTGCGATGATCAGGCCCACTATCATCCACCAACACAAATTCGGGTGGTGACCATCTTCTTTTGTTACAGATCTCCATCAAAGCAGAAACGGGATGTTTACCTTGAAGAGAAAATGTATTTGAAATTTCAGTACCACTACGGAAGCCATCATTTTAAACGAGATTGCTTTAAGAAAAGCAAGACTCTCACCTGAAAGATCCTTCATTACAACATAATGTCCAGATCTCTTCTGTGCCTTCTCTCCCACAGCAACAAGCCCTAAACAAAACACAAGAAGTTTACATTTCTGATCCTCACCCGACTTCTGTATTACCAGCAGTAAAGTAACAACATGTACTCAGTGGAGGTGAAGTCTGAACACCATTCAATGGCCTTTTCAGAAGTCTTCCAAACCTCCCTTTCATCCAACTTTTTTTTTCCCCTTCATACTTCCTACACATAACACTCTTCTCAAGTGCTCTATTAAGACTCTGAACAAGCCAGGTAGTAGAAAACTGAGTAGTCTCATGCAAGTCAGGAAACACCTGTTTTTCAATGCCCTCTTTGGAGAAACACTGAACAAGAAACAAGTTTAAAAACACTCTCTCCTTCAGTGTTTTTCTGCAACCCAAAAGCCATCCACTACTGTAACAGTTTGCCTCTGACACGCTGAGCAGCTGAATTATTTCCACTAAATAGTAAGTGTAACCTAGCACATCCTTTTGCAATACAAGTAGCACAGCACCATCCTGATGTGCTCTCCTTATTTATCAGTATTCAAATCCTTTAAGTGCAAATTCACAACCCAGTTTCCGTGCTTTCAATTGCATCTGAATATAAAACAGCAGAAGAGTGTGCAACTGGGCCACAAAACACAAAGAGCACAAGTGCCAGTGAACGTCACTGTGAAACATGGAAGTTGAACATTTTTCTTTTTGAAAGCTTACAAGAAATTAAGGGCAACAATTGCTAAAAACATACCAAATGCCAGTAACCATGCCATATTCATACAGTGACTCAAGTTTCTTTACATCTTTACATGCCATTACCTTAAGTACCAAAAATAGCTGCCCAGTTTTCAGTTTTTCAGACTTCAGCCCTTCAAATACTACTTTGTTTCTTACCTCTATTTGTTTCTGTTCCTGGCTTTGGTGAATAAGGACAGGGAGATACTGCAATTGTTTCCAGTTTCTTCCTGTTCCTTTAGGTTTTTTTTGGTTGGCATTTTGATTTGGTTTGCCTTTGAAGAAAATCCTTCTCTCCTTACCAGATTGTCATCCTAATATTCACACAGCTCCTGAGTAAGGGCTTTTCAAGTGGTATGGAACCCTCACAGACAAGAATCACTGAAACAAGGTTTATTTTTCTTCCTCTTACAGAATTTTATATCCAAAGTAACCAAAGATTTCCACCAAAGAAAAAACCCTCTTATGTCATTCTCTGATTAATATTGTGTCTCCCTCACTCGCACTCACTGACACTTGTCTTCTGTATCTTGTCCCTGGTACCTCAAGAGGGACTGTCAAAAAAGCAGTGGATTCCGCCATGCCCCACTGATGGACCAAGGTTCTTTGAACACACAACCAGCAATTTACTGGCTGATATCAAAGCCCAAGAAGGGTTTGGCTCAATGCTGCCTGTGACAGAACTACAGATCTTGCTCAGTGCCTGGGAAAAGCAGGGTCTAAGGGAAAGCTACGACAAAGGCAGACAGACAACCTTTTGGTTTGTGTCCCAGTGCAGCCTACTGAGTAATTCTCAGCCAACTGCTTGGTCCTGCATCTAGAAATAGTATTTTATTTGGGGATGAGTTCTAAAAACATGACAAAACATTCCTTACAAAACAAAACCAGGATACTTAATGTAATAGACAGATTCATTGTAAAAATTCCTGATTTGTCTTTAAACCTCTACAAAAAAAACTTTTAAAAAATACTATTTTTTATACATTTAAGCATCAAAAAAGTCTGATGTTTGAAGAAGCTTTTCAGCTACTCAACACAAATATACAATCACTGTTCAGCTGCTTCTTTGTAATGCATGAAACATGCAGCCTCTTCACAATGCAAACTCCCTCCCTGTATTACAGGCTTGGTTGGCTCAACTTTCAAGATAATTCTTTATCAACACAGAACACGTTTAGAATTTTTTATTTTGGTGGAAATGATCAGATTAGGTTGCATACATGATGATAATCAAGTATTTAAAACCAGTTAAATCTGAGCAAAGCACAGCCATCACTAAGGTTATCTGTATTTTCAGACAGAGCTATCACAGGCTAGGAAGAGGCATCCTTTAACTCCACTAAACATTTTTAATTGTTATTGAAGACTGAATGTTCTGAAGAAGAAAGAGCAAACTACCTGTTACAGAATGCCCAGCACAACAAGGACCTGACCTGTCTCAGGCCATAGGGCTTGGTGCTTGAAACTTTGGTAACAAATTCTGCAGGCACTAAGGAAATCTGTATTAGGAACAACATGAGGATCCTGGGACACACTTCTCTAACTGCAAACTTAAGCTGCAACATGAGCTGCGTCTCACTAAAACATTTTTAATGTTCAAAACGTTCACAGGTTGTGCAGCAAAACTGCCTCTTTCATGTGAGGAGCAAGCCGCATGATGAACAGAGCTAACCCTTCTTCCCTCCTCACCGCAAAAATCCATCACCATGTTACACAGGCTGTTTGAGAAAATAATACTGACACTGTTTCTCAGTTTCTTCTCTCCGACTGCTATAAATCAAACTAAGTTGAAGGAACTCTTGCCAGCACCGAGAACTTTCCAAGACAACATTTACAAAGACGACAGTAGCTAAGTAACAGCAACAAAATACTTGTCAAAAATGATTTTCTTGGCAACCACTCTGTCACCAGGTTATCTTTTTTCCCTTTCGTTAAACAGAGAGGTTGCACCGAAGAAAACCAGCTGAAAAGTGAAGTCTGTATTACTGTGTTCAGTACTTTGAGACTGTTGCACTTCCCATTTATAAACCCCACATTATGCTGCTAGAAAGTCTTCAGGATTTAGAAAGCAATGAATATTTTCATAACATAGGCCTTCCTCATTTTCTACCTCTCTGTGCTTAATATTTCAATGTTTAAACTGTATTTTCACTGCTGTCACCTGAGCAGTACTGAACTACCTCTGTATTAAGAATTATCCTGTTGACACCTAAAGATTCCTCCAGCAGCATCTCTGCAAACAAACTTCACATTTGCTTTATAAGCTTTGTTTTCTTCCAAGCTCAATCATGAATATTGATAAAAGCTAACATAAATCCATAATTCAAAGTATTTCCATGCTTTGATATTAGATGTGATCTATTTAAAATATTAAAGTTTCTCAGTTGAAAAAAAACCAAATATATATTAGGAGAACAACAGGCAGAACATGTTTTCCTGCAGCGCTGTTGATTTTGCTAACATGCCTAATAAATCTTGAAATTTTACTAAGATTATGAATCTGGCATTTAAAATGGTTAGAACTTGTATCACTGATGAAAAATACCCAAAAACATTCACTCTGAAAAGAGAACTCTTGCTGAATGTGCTGGCAAGATGGCCAACCATACAAGCCACGCTGCCCAGCCTCAGGAGCAGCATGCTGCCTGCAATTCAAAGGAGAGGTCTCTTGCATCAAATGAAACAAGTGCAACAGCTCTCCACTTGTGGCTGTGGACTTTTGATAAAGAGAAGCAGAAAAGACCGCTAAAAAAAACAATCTTTGGAAACAATCAGGCCAACATCACTGTAGTTGAGCAAAGTTTCTTGCAACAGGATCAAATGAGGAGATGGAAAAGCAAAGAGAGCAGACGGACAAAAAAGAATCCCTTTGAAAGACCTAAAACCATCAGTGTGAGACTGTTCCTGTCAGGACTTCAGCTGAAAGGCAGCAGCAAACCCAGCTCTGTAGGTCTCATCTCTGTCCTCCACCCCAGTTTAAAACTGATCTAGTCAATCTTCTATCCAGCCCCATTTCTGCTTGAGCCACTTCCTCTAGACCAACCACAATGGATTATCCCTGTCTCATGCCTTCTCCACACATCCAACTGAGGCACATCCCTAATTTAATGAGAAGCACTTTCGAACTGGAGGGTGATGGTTAGGGAAAGTTAAAGAACATCTGGAAGAGTCCACAAGCATAAGGACAAAGCCTACATATATAATCCAGGGCACAAAAACCTTGTACCAAAATCACCTATGCCATTCTGTTAGTTTTTCCAGTGGTGCTGTACCCAGAAAAGGGCTACTACTTCCAAGTTATTTTGCCCGTCTCCAAAATTGACATGGAAGTTTATACTGCCACAAGACATGTAAAGAAGGGCTTACCTTTCCGATCTGTCTTAAAGTCCACCATAATTGGCTCAACGCTGCCTTCTTTGTTTTTCCCAAGCCCTTCTCCTTCTCTCCAGCCCATTTTTCTCATCAGCTGAGCTCCCATTCCTCCAGTTACAGGGGCTGCTCTTAAGAACTGATCCTATCCAGAAAAAGAAAAGTAAAACAAGTCCTAAAGTTAGCACTGGGGTTTTGAAACCTAAGTGGAAGCTTCCAGAAAAATGTTTCTAACAACCTTTCACAGACTCAATTAAAAAAAAAAACATACACCTTAGCTTTATATACATTAACATTTGGCAGCAACCAGAATTCACGCAGACACACGAGACACAAATCAATATTTGCAAAAAAGAACAACTTAAGAAAATTCTAATGTGATCCAAAAGTGGCAAGTGACCCTTTGCAGACATATGTACTTAATAAAATGATAACCGTCCAGTTTTAAACACGCTACTTTGGTTCCAATGCATCTCTTCTCATCTCGTGAAAGGAGGCAGTGTTAACTGTTTAACTGGCAACATGTGTGCCAAGTGTACCTAGTTTCTGAACAAAATACAAGCACATTTAGTAATGACATTCACAGAGTGTTTAGGCGTATTTTAAATATATATTTATAAAAGTTTCCCCATTTTATTATACAGCAGTTGCACATTCAAGTTCTACTCTGAAAATCCACATGAAACATACAGGGTTTTATCTTCCTTTTTTTTTTAAAGGCGCTTAGCCACACAGTTTAGCATCAGTAGAGAAGTCTTCACATTCTTTCAAATCATCATTTACATAATAGCTGTTAAATGGTGAAAGCTTATAAACAGAAATCTTAAAAATCTGTTTTGATGTAAAGAACTTTAAAAACTCCTTAAATGTTTACGTACCTAGGCCTCGATGGCCGCAGTGTTGTGAATAGTAGGGCTGGCATTGACCGTGGCAAGAAGGCAGCTACAAGGATTTGACCCTGAAACAAGTTTCCATATAGAGGGGTGAAAGTTCACAGGTTATTCTGTGAACTATCAACTCTCTTCTGCCCCCCCCGCTGACCCAAGTAAGTAAGTCAATCATTTCCATCACAGCAAAGAATTGCTTGCCTTAAAATATACAAGTTTACACACTGGCACTGATAAGTCCATCCGTTATTTCGCATAGTAGGTTAGATGATACAATGCCTAGTATCTTTGTGAAAATGTTACTTACTATCAAAGCAAATTAACAGAACACTGTTTGGGGTTTTTCTTCTCTGAGTTGTGCTTGCAAAAGTAAGCATTTCCCAGGTTTGGACACAGGACTGGTTTGGACACAGGACTGATAGGTCCTTGGTTTTGATACGTACAAAAAGAAAACCAGAAGTCTTACTTTTGCAGAGACTAAGGATATCAAGGGGATTTCCAACTGTCAACTGGCACACACTGAAGCATGTGTGTAATCCCCACGATGTTAAAAAATTGTCAAAAATAATAATTGTGGAAGATTGTGGCAGAACTTCTCCAAATATTTCCCTATTAAACAGTGAACACCTAGCAATCGTGTAACTGGATGCTGCATTTAACAATGTGGTCTGATGGAAAAGCGGAGAGGCTACATGCACCCCTCCAGTTCAACTTCTTTTCTGATTGGTGAAGACCATGCAGTGCGTGTGCGTACAAAATCAGTTTCTTCGATATGAACTGCCTCAATCTATATACCTAGAACGGCTTTTACTTACTTCCATTTTCATCCTCCCCTCTCTTTTCCAGGAACCTCTCATAAGAAAAGGGCAACCTTGCTGAGAATGATA